TTTCTGAAGAAGGGTCTAGGCCCAAAACGTCAGCCTTCCTGCTCCTCTGATGCTGCTTGGCCTGCTGTGTTCATCCAGCTCTACACCTTGTTATCTCTTTCCATGCGTGGACTTCATTTACACAACTTGCTGCTCTGGAGAGGCTGCCAACATCATCAAAGACCCACCACACCCCAGTAATAATCTCCTACAACCTCTTCCATCAGGCAGAAGATACAGAAGCCTGAATGCGTGCACAAGCAGGTTCAGGAACAGTTTCTTCCTAGCTGTCATTAGACTGATGAATGGATTCCCTAGCCTCAAATCTTGCCAATATTGATCTCGTCTAGCACACGCCCTGTGCAATGTAACCTGTATGTCTCTGTCGAAGTCTTTTTGATCTGTACATCCTTTGCTTACTATGATCTTCCTGTACTGCGTGTAAAGAAAGCTATTCACTGTGTTTTGGTACATGTGACAATAAATAAGTCAATCAATCAATCATAATATTAAAATTAGCTGTAAAATCAGTATGAGGCTTGGGCTTGTGAAGCATATTAGTTATTAGATTGACATCACTTTCGATTCTATACATTTTACTCAAATTGACATGTAGTATGTGTCCTTGGAAAGCCTCTTTCTAAAACTTGTTCAAACTGAGTCAATTGATAATTTTAAACCTGTGATAGATTTTAAATAGGGATATGAAACTAAGATGAGTAATTTGAATAAAGTTACAGATTAGCTGTGATCTAAGTGAATATACAATTGGAATAATCTTAAGTGATGGAAGAATATCTGATTTTCTCATGTCCTTGAGTACATATTCTCAGCTGCCAAATTACAAACTATGGGCTCAATTTGACACACTTCGTGATGTGATAAAAATACATTGACACCGCATTTCATGATTGACAGTCAGTTTGCAAAGCTATTCTCCAGTCTTGCCTGCTGTGCTACATTGGTCCCCGTCATAACTTACTTACACTGACTTAAAACCTATTCATTGCCTGTTTCTGTGTAGACATTGCCTGATCAGCTGAATATTCATAATAATATTGAAGACTTGGCTGTTCCAATTTAAGCTACAACACTGAGATCTAACAAACAATGTGTAAAATTTCCCATACATGTCCTGTACACAAAAAGGGCAAATCCAACTCAACCAATTAGCACCTTATCAATCTCCTCTCCATCATTATCTAAATGATGGAAGGGGCCATTACCCAGTGCCACTTGCAAAGGAATTAACCTCCTCACTGATACTCAGTTTAGTTTTAGCTAATTGTACATAGAACAGTATTGCACAGGAGCAGGCCCTTCAGTCCACCTTCTGTGCTGACCCGGGAGCTATGTACCTGGACCCCAAGACTCCTCTGTATATCAATGCTTCTAAGGGTTCTGCCATTTACTCTCCTGACTTCAGTACAGCCTATGTCCAAAGGTGGAAAGAGTTAAATGCCAGAGGTGAAGTGAGAGTAGCTGCTTTTGACATCAAGGAAGCATTTGATTGAGTTTGGCATCAAGGAGTCCGAGCAAAAAAAAACTGAATGTGCACCGAGGAGAAGCTTTCCATTTTTTGGAATTGCACCTAGCGTAACAAAAGATGTACATTTGCACCACATATAAGCCAGGCAATGTTAATCTCTACAAAAGAGAATCTAACAACAATTCCTTGATGTTCATTGGCATTACCATTGCTGAATGGTATTATTAATTTTTAAATTAAATTTCTGGTGGTTATCATTGACCAGAAACTGAACATGAACAATTATATTAATACTGTGGCTACAAGAGCTGGTCAGAGGCTGGGAATTTTGCAGGGAATAACTCACCTTCTGTCTCCTAAATGCCTGCCCATCCTCTACCGATCACAAGTCAGGCAATACTGTCCATTTGCTTGGGTGTTTACAACTTCAACAACTCTCAAGAACCTTGACATCACCCAGGACAAAGTGGCCTGCTTGATTGGCAACACATCCGCCACCTTCGACATAAAGTACTTCCATCAGGCGCACATAGTGGCAGCAGTTTTTGCAATCTACAAGATGCACTACAGTATTTCATCAACGTTCCTTTGACAGTAGCTTTCAAACCTGCAACCTCCATTACCTCGAAGGAAAAGAACAGCATATGTGTGGGAACACTATTGTCTGCAAGATTACCCTAAGCTACTCACCATCATGACTTGGAAGCATATTACCGGTTCCCACCGTCGATGGGTCAAAATCTCTTTCTAACAGAACCGTGGTGTCCCTACATCCCAAGGGCTGCAGCAGTTTAAGGAGGCTAGCTCACCATCACCTTCTGCAAGACAATTAGGGATGGACAACAAAATGCTAGCCCAGCCAGTGAAGTCCCCATCCTATGAAACAATAAAATCATAGCAATTCGTTTCTTACTTCATATTTCCAACATTTTTAGCATTTTGTTTATGCTTCAGAATCACGCCTGGCTGCAGTCTGCAGTCGTTTCCTGAGAGATATTAAAATGACATTTAACCTGCAGCAATGTCAAATGAATCCACGCACATTGCTGCTCGGTCGAAGTTGTGAAAGTCTTCTCGCTTCTTCGACACATCGGATACACCCCCGAAACAGCTGATTGGTTGTCGAGCGAAAAACTCAAACTAGAAACGCATATGTGAATGGTTAAGATATTTATCAATCAGAGAGAATACGGAATATGATTGGACTACGTGGCCGCCTATCAAATTACTCCCCGCTTGTGAATGGGCTATCCACTCGTCAATCGCCCCGCAACCTTCAATCAGATTGTGAGGTGGCGGCGGGAGGCGGATCTGCCCCCGCCTCCAGAAGCGCGGAGGCAGGTGGTTTAATTCGGAATGAATAAAAGGCGCTGACTTTGACCGAGGATGTTGGGGAAATCATTTAAAAGTTGTTTTTATTCGCCTGACTGGTTGGATGAGAAGAAGACAAAAAGAAATTGAAGTAGGACGTCGAACCTTTTCTGTTGGTGTTTGGGTGTGGAGCGAGCGAGCGAGCGAGCGAGAGAGAGGACCGTTAGTCGAAGTCATGGTGATGTGAGGCGGCCATTCGGCACTGACTTTGGTTCTATGGAGGCGATCATCGAGGGGGACTCGCTCCTTTACTTTGCTGCTAGTTTGTACCAGGGTTGGCTCCGAGTTTACGGTGAGTCCTGACGGGGAATAATGAGGATTGTGCTGGGGAGGATTAAGAATGTACCGCCGTGAGAATTCTCCAAAGCGCAAAGTTTCTGCCCCTGCAGATGTGTGGACGACAGGTGCAGCCTGTCGCCTGGACCTTCCCACCCTCCTCTCAAAATATAATAAAACATGACGAACGTGAAGTTGTCTGGTCTCAGCATGTTGGTTTGGCGATTAATTTCTCTATCTTCGGAAATCGGCAAGGTGTAAAAACGTATGGAAACTTTTGTTTTAATAAAACATGATTTTATTTTGTTTAGTCAAGCTGTGACCTTGCTTTAATCCCTGGAACAGTTCCCAGGGTATGAGCGATTTACCTCCTTCCCCGGAGCGTGTTCTTGTTGGGTGTGGGATGGACGCACGTGTGGTGGGAAAAGTGCGAACACCAAATGTGAATGAGACAGGATGAGGGTGTGTGCATCTTGCTGTGGCAGATGCAAGTGTCAACATGGTGGAAAGATATAAATTGTCAGCAGAAATGTTGTGGACCTAAACAGGATGGGGTGCATTTGAGGCGAAAAAATGATGAGTAGAACATCTAGAATTTGACACGAGTCAAAGCGCGGGCACAGCACGTCAATCACGGGACGTGCCATTATTCAAACTGGTTGAAGAATGTGTGCTAATCTTTGCAGATGCTGTTTAGATAAACCTATTGGAAGAGAAGTGCGGGTTTCGGGCAGCTTTTCAAGATGTGGAAAACGTGAAGAGCATGCGTAGGTGGTGCAGTTGAGTTGTGGGTGTCGTGTTAAGCTTGCATGTTGGCCACTGAAGGCATGCTTAGACTTTGAAGGACATGTATAGACTGATATGGTACGTGTAGGCTGTGTATGAAAAACACTTATACGTGAGACAGTGATCAGGTGTAGGCAGTAGTGTTTTAGCAAATTATTGTTTCCTTGTCCTGTTTTGGATATTGTGCAAAATCATTTTAACACAAGATGTTGTACTTGCAGCCAAGGAACATGTTATCCATGTAGTTAGGTGTTTGAATAACACTTTAATTTTCAGCTTTAGCTAGCAAATTTCATGTTTGCTAATCATTAACACATCAGTTTCTGTAAAAGCATTAAGAATCTTGGTCAACTGAACAAAGTACTAAAATTAGCTACCAGCAGACTGTATGATAGCTTAGTAGTATAAAATGGAGGCTTGGTAAAGTTCTTGCTGTATTGCTTGTTTTGTAAATATGCAGTTCTATCTTGCAGTGTACCATGTTCTTAATCAATTATATATCTTGTCCAATTTTGAGTTTTACTGTTTGCAAATGTTCTCTTTAGGCCCTAAAGGGGCTTGCTACAGTACACTTCTATGGTGTCAGTCACACTTGTAGTATCTTGCATGAATTGATATTATTCATTTTGTTAGCATAGTGAGTGTTGACAGGCTGCATGATGGAGAGTCAGTTACTGTAAAAGAACTTGCATTTTTTAAAATAGTGCTCCTCAAAACTGCTGATGAGCTTTTACAGGCACTGAAATACCATTTATAAGTAATATAGGAAACATAACAGCCAATTTGTATGCAGGAAGTGCTTAAATATTCTGAAAATATGAAGGTAATATCATTCATGATGCTGAATGGCAGGTAAATATTAGGTAGAATAATTGCTCTGCTGTGAATAGTACCATGAGATATTCTACATCAACGAACAGGCAGGTGGAGTCTTAATGCCATGTCTCATCTGAACATGGCACCGCAGACATTGCAATTGTTCTTCTGCATTAAAGTGTAAGTTAAGACACTTATTCAAGCTCTGGAGTGGGACTTGATGGAAAGTTGTGACTCAGATGAACTACACCTGTCACTCAGTTTAACAAACCTTAATCCTGTTTTATGAATAAGAGGCTTGAAGGGATTGTAAGTGATGCATTACATTATCCCTAGATTGAGATGGAATCAGCAGAGACATCTTGGCTTTTGAAAAGGAAAGATGAGTTTTGCTAATTTGATCAAATTACTAGCTTAGTTGATGAGGGTATCCCAGGAGTTGTTGTCAACTTGGATTTTCGAAAAGCTTTTCATACAGTATCTCCCATTAGATTTACTTCCATTATAAAAGCTTGTGGAATTAATGAGAGGCTATGATGGGAGATGTGGGTTTTTAAGCTTAATGTTTTTTTGGGATAGTTATTGTCAATTACTGTGGATCTAGCTGGAGATCAGTTTCCAGTGGTGTTGCAAAGAAAATTGCATTGGGGCCTTTACTTTTCAGTAACTTAGCACCCTTCAAATAGAGGGAATCATCTTGTGGGTGATGCATAGACCTATGGAAGTCTTTCAATTGAAGAAAACAATAAACAACTGCAAGCAGGTCATGATGTTGTGGAGGAATAGATGTTGATAGTTAGCAACTGGTGTTGCATTGGGAAAAGGTGTATGTGCGTGATTGATGTTCTGTATATAAAATTTTTTTAGGGAACTGAACTGAAGTCTAGGGGATTTCAAGATTGAGTTTCTCAACCACTCTGAAGCTTAAGGTGAACATCTTGGAACAGTTCAAGTGACTGCCTTCTCTAGTAAGGAAGAGGCTGAGAACTTCTGCCTATGATATTGATCCAAGTTGACACAGGTTCTTTGACTGCCGGAGTGGAAAATATTCCCATTTCTGGCCCAAAGCCTGATGGAGGCTAGGCATTAAGGCATTCACATCAAGTGATGGATGGCTGGATTGTCTCTCAAGATGAGGCATGGCAGGAGTGACAGATGATAGGCAAGACTATTTTGGAACCTATATCCTGAATGAGTATGTGCCAAGAACCTGGATTTGGATTGCAAGCAGAACTTGGAGGATTGTTGGTTGAGTTGAGCTGCACTTGGCAGATCTTTATGCTGGCTTCAGCTTAATGCCAATTCAGTGACCAGCTGACCAGAGCTATGGCCTCCACTAGTGCCCATGTCCCAGGCCAAGCGGTCTGAAATACAGTTAGGGTGACTGTAGAAGGTGGGGGAAGGATCTCTGGTTGACTGGACCTTCTTCGTGAAGTGAGTCCTCCTGGATTGCTGCACTTTCCAAGCAGCAGATATTTTCTGTCCACAGGAGTTCCCTAGTGGTGGCCATTTTGACACCTCCTTCAGGAGCGTGAAGCAATATGAATGTCTCCTGAAGGTATTTGAGGAGAAAGGTGGTGAGGGCTGCCTCTCCGTCCTGTCCCTCTGTGGCACCATTATTTGCTCTCCCTGCACAGAGTAGCTGGGTTGTTACAATGTACAGGTATAACCCCACATGCCCTGGCAGCAAATGTCCTAACCTTCCTGGGTAGGTATGTACAGCTTGAAGGAGGCAGCACCAATGTGTAGTGGACCCCTTTGGAATCTGGACCAGCAAACAGCAGTTAATGGTGACCCTGAAGGTGGACGCTATTGGGAACATCCTCCAGCTTTGTGATCGGAGGGATTTGAGGCGACCTGACATATGTGGGGCAGCCCAAGTGAGTGCCGAACTGATGGGAGATGAGGGCATATTGTGGTCTGCCGATAGGTGGCCCTCCAGGAATTGCAAACTGGAGAGCCACCTGACTGCAAAGGGTCCAAGCACTGCAACCTGTCTGGGGAAGTGGGTCAGCTGCATAAGGCCTGCCCAAGATGGAGGACGCACCACTTGCACTCAGATTGCCAGAATTGGCAATGTGAGCTCTGGACACCCAGAAGGCAATAAGGTGCCATCCATCAGCAAGAAACCTGAGAAAAGAGCCTCCAAAAGGAGGGACAGGCCAGAGAGGAGGAAAAGAGCCTGTGTGGAGGCATAAAAACTGACCAAACCTCCACCTGAACAGATGGAGTCAATGGAGGAGGAGCAAACTGAGGTGGTGGAGTTGATGCCGGTAAGAAACAACTGCAAAAGGAAAACACGTCAGGCCCTTCCCGTTCCTCTACAAAAGGGGAAGAGGCAGCTGCATGATGAACACCAGCAGATCCTCTGACGATGAAGACCTGTGGAGGGATGGCCACAAACAAAGAGGCACAGCACCACGACAGGAGGAGAGAAGTAACCCCCCAACCTTTAAACACTAGATGTTGTGAGGGGCCCACGTGAAACCCAATCTCTTCCGGTCAGGAACCAAGGGGCACCCACTGCACCACTGGTTCAGGCAACCAGGAGCAGGACATGATAATTCCTCTGGACTCAGAACTGGTTCTTTCTGGTTTTGTTCTTGCCCTGATGACACTGGATCAGGGCAGCCACCGCTGCACCCCCCCCACCCCAAAGAACAGGATGGCCACCTCTGCTGAGTGCCCAACCGTTCATGCATCCCAGAGGGAGGCAGCAACCCCCCCCCGTTT